ATATAGGGGGTATGCTATATTGAGACAATATGTTTTACTATATCTACCTGGGATAATATATATACCTGGGTATAAGTCACCAACTGGCCTTTAAAACTGCTAGGGGTACACGCCATAGGGGGTATACTTGTCCGGATTTACAGTAAATAAAATTCTTATTAATAAATTTTAATATACTTACGTTTTTGATTGGCCGATTATGAGTCATGTGACCCGTGACAAATTCGTCATATAACGGGTGCAATAAATAAGTTTCGAATATTTTTGATTTCGAATACGCCCATGGGCTTTATTTCGAGATAAAGTATTAATTCTGGAATCCGATTGTTACTAATGTTATAAACAGGCCGAATGAATAAGTATCAGGTAAATATCAGATACAAGCCTTCTGATATGCTACCGATACGTTATCTAGCGGTAAAATTCAGGTGCATGTTGGGAGTCTTGTATTTCGATATTTACCCGATACTTGCTCTTCGAAGTGCGCGCTATTTCGGGACGCGCATGGGCGTTATTTCGAAACCACCTATGCTATTTTTGGGGGCGCGATTTTCGAAAAGTTGTATAAAAAATTATATCTGTTATTAGAAATCTCGTATGTACGTATGTACGTACATACGTACGTACGTACGTACGTACGTACAGAATAGCCATGACATGTATGACTGTTAATTAAAATTACTAATCTTGCATTAATAAAACACAACGATACACAAAATCTGTACTATAAATTTTTACTGAATATATCGATATTTTTGATTAATTAGTTAATTAATATAAAATGTCTGAAATGTTGCATTTTTTTCCATTGTGTCTAACAATCACAATGATGATAAGGTTATGTTGTTGCATTATCCATTTTTTTAGATTGGTTAAAAATTTTTTATCCAATCAAATTTGCAGTTACTTGAAATTCTTAAACAACGTGATTATATCTTATCGAAATTTTTTTTATAAAATTAGTTAGTGTATTTCGAAATAATTTAATCACTAACTGCTAATAAAAAAAATGAGGGTTTTAAGTTTTGCTTTTAAGCGTCGCATTACTTATGCGAGTAACTGCGGGTCGTTATTTTCAAAACCATTAATTCAAAAATTTTCTTCAAGCTCAAGAAAATACGACGCGTTTTCACCTTTAGACACGTTTCCGCGTAGACACAATGGTTCTTCCGATTCAGATGTCAAAAGAATGCTCGACCTTGTTGGTGTTAAAGATATGGAAGAATTGGCTTCAAAAACGGTTCCCGCCAATATTCTTTCTAAAAAACGCCTTGCTTTAGAAAATGGCCTTACTGAGAACGAACTTTTGAAAAAATTGAAGAATATTGCCTCGAAAAATAAGATATACAAATCGTATATTGGCATGGGTTATACAGATACTATTGTACCTCCCGTTATATTAAGAAACATATTGGAATCGCCTGGATGGTATACACAAGTGAGTACACTCTGATTCATATTATTGTACTGCACCACCAGGACATTCGCGCGAAAAAGCGACTTTCATCGGTCTTGCAGTAAACCATTTACTAGACATAATAAGAAATGACAACTTGGAAACTTATCATTATGCACGATTGCCGTCGCATTTTGCAGTACACACCATATCAGCCTGAGATTTCTCAAGGTTAGTAAACAGATTCATATATGGTTAAGTTATTTACGCGTAACTAATTTGTACCGATTATTCATAGGTCGCTTGGAATCACTCTTAAACTTTCAAACTATGGTCACTGATCTCACTGGAATGAACAAAGCAAATGCATCCCTTCTCGATGAAGGAACTGCTGCAGCAGAGGCCATGCTTATGGCATATTCTGCAGGTAAACAAAAACAGCACACTTTCTTTGTGGATGAAAAATGTCACCCTCAAACTATTGCATGCCTGCAGACTCGTGCAGAATGCTTTAAAATCAAAGTCATTGTAGGAAATGCTTTGAATTATGATTTTGATCAATATGGTAAAGATTTATCTGGAATTTTAGTTCAGGTAATTTTATAAACTAAAGATTGTTGAAATTTTTTTTTTTTTAAGCATAATATTAATAACATGTTATCTTATAAGTATCCTGCTACCGATGGTACGATAAATGACTATACTGAACTAGCAAATAAAATTCACTCTATGGGTGGACAATTAATTTGCGCTACTGATTTATTGGCACTTACTCATCTTGTTCCTCCTGGTGAATGGGGAGCTGACATTGCGATCGGTAATAGTCAACGATTTGGCGTTCCGCTAGGTTATGGCGGTCCGCATGCTGCTTTTTTTGCTTGTAAAGAACATCATGTGCGAAGGATTCCTGGTCGGTTAGTTGGTGTTTCACGTGACCCTTCTGGTAATAAAGCCTATCGATTGTCTCTGCAAACCAGAGAGCAACATATTAGGAGAGAAAAGGCTACTAGTAATATTTGTACAGCTCAAGCCTTATTGGCAAACATGGCAGCTATGTATGGTGTTTATCATGGACCAGAGGTGAAATTTAGTTTATTAAATAATAATTATTTAATGTAAAAGTAGAAATAACATTTTCTTTAAATAGGGGGGTGAAAGCCATTGCCAAGCGCATTCATGATTTTACTAATACTCTGGCGGCAGAAATTAAGCATCACGGATATACTATTAAAACGGACCATTTTTTTGATACATTAAATGTCCATATTGAGAGTGGATCTAATGAAATATATAAAAAAGCCTTGAACGCTGGTATTAATCTTCGTAAAGTAGATGATTTTACTATTGGTATTACTTTGGATGAGACAGTTACGAAAGATGATCTAGTGAATCTCATTCGCGTTTTTGCTAAGGATTCAACATATATACCAAGTCTTGTGGATGTTAAAAAATCAAACATTCCAAACCAATTTATTCGTACTTCGCCGTTTATGCAACATCAGGTTTTTAATTCTTACCATTCAGAAACTGAAATGCTACGATATATTTATCATTTGCAATCTAAAGACCTTTCATTGGCTCATTCTATGATTTCCTTGGGAAGCTGTACTATGAAACTTAATGCTACAACGGAAATGATTCCTGTAACATGGCCTGAGTTTGCAAATATTCATCCATTCGTACCAATTGACCAAGCAGAAGGGTATAAAATCTTAATTCAGGTATGTCAATAATTATTTTTAAATAGACTCTATATATATTCTGACAAAAATATATAATTATTCAGGAGCTTGAACACGATCTTGCCGAGACAACTGGATTTGATGGTGTTTCGTTGCAACCCAATTCTGGTGCACAGGGCGAATATGCTGGGCTTCGCGTAATTGGTGCGTATCATAAATCGCGTGGGGATGAAAAACGCGATGTTTGTCTTATTCCAGATTCTGCCCATGGCACAAATCCAGCATCGGCAGCTATGTCTGGTATGTCAGTTCTTAATGTTAAATGTAACAATGGAGATCTTGACATGAAAGATCTCAAAGAAAAAGCAAGAAAATACAAAGATCGATTGGCTGCATTCATGGTTACGTATCCATCAACATTTGGAGTGTTTGAAAACGGTGTCGTAGAAGCATGCGAAATAATCCATAATTATGGTGGGCAAGTTTACATGGATGGTGCCAATATGAATGCACAGATTGGGCTATGTAAACCTGCTGACATCGGTGCCGATGTTTGTCATTTGAATTTGCACAAGACATTTTGTATACCGCATGGTGGTGGTGGGCCAGGTGTTGGTCCTATAGGAGTGTGAGTGATTGAGTGATTAAATGTTACGATTTTTAGGATTTGCAGCTAATAATATCTAATCAATTGTGACTAATTTTATATTCCTTTAGAAAATCACATCTTGTGCCCTTCTTACCCGGACACCCAGTAATTAAGACTGGTGGTGATAAGGGTATAGGTCCTGTGTCAGCCGCTCCATTTGGTTCACCAAATATTTTACCTATTTCGTGGGCATACATAAAGATGATGGGTAGGAATTTTTATTTAAATAGCATACACTTTCACTTGATTTTGTTATAATTTTACATTAATATTTTTTGACCTTAGGTAGTGAAGGATTGAAATCCGCTACATATCACGCGTTACTTAATGCAAATTATATGGTTCGTCGCTTATCTGAACACTACAAGATCTTATATACCAACCAAAACGGCATGTGCGCACACGAATTTATTGTTGATATTAGACCATTTGCAACTAGTGCTGGCATACATGCGATTGATATTGCTAAACGTCTTCAGGTATCAAACCTTATGCTAATGATAAATTCTTCGCCCAAATTTTAACACTATTTAAATCCAATTAAATTAAGGACTATGGCTTCCACTCTCCAACTATGTCATGGCCAGTTTCTAACACTTTAATGATAGAGCCAACTGAATCTGAATCAAAAGTAGAATTAGATCGATTTTGTGATGCAATGATTGGCATCAGAAATGAAATACACGAAGTTGAACTTGGCAAGCAGCCAAAAGGCGATAATATCCTTACAAATGCACCACACACAATTCAAACATTGGTAAAGCCAACATGGGATAAGGCATATACAAGAGAACAGGCTGCCTTTCCCGTAAAATCTTTAAGGGAGCGTAAATTTTGGCCAACAGTTGGAAGACTTGGTATGCTCCGTTTATGTCTTGATCATCTTTATCTTATCGTCCATGAAAACCAATAACTTTTTTTTTTCTTAAAAATAAAAAGATGATACTTATGGCGACAGAAATTTAATATGTACCTGTCCTCCAATGGAAGATTATTTAGATTGATATTTCCTAACATACTACAAGAATGTTTATTAATTCATTAATTCATAAGATTACATAGATCGATAAATAACTTATTTATTACATTGTTGCAATGTTTAAGGTTTAATTCACAAGTTAAATAGTAAAGATTTTGATTATTATAAAGCTTTAATTAGTTGCTAAAGGGATTAAAATTAATATGTCACATACACGGTGCGCGCAGTCTAGAGACATCAAATTACCTTTATTTTATAATAAATATAAAAACTTTTTTAGTAAATATGACAATTGTAAAGAACATAATTGGAATATATTAGAAGAAATATTAAGGGTAGATTATTTATCATATGATTTCTGTGTCACAACGTGATTTTTGTAAAAAATAAAAATATGCTACTAATAAAACTTTTTACTA